ACAATTGATAAGTATATTTTATTAATATTTGTTAAGTAAATTTATATCAAAAACATTTTAATTGATTTGAATCAATTATGATTATAGATTATAAGTATATTTTTATTAAGGCTTGTTAATAAATTATATTATATTAAATTCAATTACAGTTGGTAAGTATATTTATTTAATATTTATTAAGTAAATTTATATTGATATTTTAATTGATTTTTGTCAACCACTATTTCTGATAAACTTTGTTCCAAATTTATAAAATGTATAAGAAAAAAAATGGGTTTGAATCTGGTACTATTATCTATTGTTATTATTATTGTGATGACAGGTTGATAAAAGATTATAAAAGCAAGCACCAATTCTTCGACCTGCAATTTAATTTTCTGACGAGTTTCAATTCAAAAAACAAGATAGAAACAATTATTCTCACTCGATCTTTATATGCCAACATGTAGTTTAATCAATGAAGTAATTATGGGAATGTGTATACTGCTTGATCCAAAGAACGCCTATCTAATATTCCTTAAACTGCTCTCATTGCTTCACCAAGAATGGCAGTTCTGAAATGTTTTTTTTAGCATGTTGTAGGAAGTACACAGCAATGTTTGCTCTTCAACACTTCTAAGAAAGGTGAGTAAACCATACTTACTCGACCAGCATGTTGTGGGGAGTACACGGCCATGCTTCTCTAAATGGCACATTGTAAGTGTACATAGCCATGCCTTCTGATTTATCAAACTCCTCAATTCAAACTCAATGCATCATCATGTTATGAGGTGTCTAAATTGTTCCAATTCCTCTAATACGTTGTAGGTACACAGCCATGCTTTCAATTTCAAAATATTTATTTGCTGCTCTGGATTGATTGACAGCATGATGAAAAGAATCATTATATATAGTGTGCTAGTATTAATAGGGATGGGTGGGTGGAAGATTCAATAAGCTGGAAATCAAAGTTTCAGGCAAATGTAGCAGCAAAAAAAAACACAAAAACATTACCTATTCGAACATCCATAGCTTTATTTTGATTTTTTTTACGTAATCACTAGTCTTCATTCATCTATAAATCATCATTATATCATTTTTTCCTCATCACTCGCATACACAAAAAAAATGTAAACAGGTCCCGATCCTCGCAATAATAATCCTCCTGTGACTTCATCTCGGTCAGTTCTATTATTCTCGCTTGGATCTCTATATACCAACATGTAGTTTAATTGATGAAGTAATTATGGGAATTCGATAAGCCGGAAATCAAAGTTTCGAGCAAACATAGTACAGTACAGCAAATGTTTAAAGGTAAGAAAGAAAATCGTTATATCAAAAACGATGACCTAATATTAATAAGCAAACATTTTAAACCAAAATGGCAACTTGTACAAAATAACTTTCAGATCTTTGTGAATCCTCTAAACCATATCGAGAAGATATCACATTTAAAAGAATATCTCCAAATAAAATTCCATATATAACTAAATTCTCTCCAGAGAGAAGTACAGTTGTTGTATTTGAGGATCTATGCACTGAACTGAAAAAAGTGCAAGAACGAATTATTCCTTACTTTATTAGTGGCCGGCATCAAAATATCTCACCCATATATGTAAGCCAGAAATATACACAAACTCCTAAAATTATCTACGAAAATATTTCACATTTATGCCTATTTCGAGGGGCAGGAAGCCAAGACGACATCCATAGAATCATGCGACAATATATAGATAACCAAAAAAAGGCATCCAAGATTATTAATAAACAATTGCGGAATCGGGAATTCGTGATTTTTGATTTACTAAGGCAGTAGACGATCCTCTAGCATTTAGATTGGGTTGGAACACTTCCCTGAAATTAGATGAATAAAACGAGACATATCTATTGGATAACAGGCATTTATTTTTTTCTCATTATTTATTAACGCATTAATATAAATACTACTCGCCACTTCTATTAAGAAGCTGATTATCTCTAGTCAATATGAAATTGAAGTGGATGTGTAATAATAACAAGCGTGATCTATTATTGCGAAGCAATGACCCTTTGGGTCTATCAATACTAGGGATTTTTGTGTCATATGGAAATAGGTTGATATATAAAAATCAAAGTAAAAAAATGTTACTGGCCTTCAGGGTAACGAAATAAAGTCTAAAGTACTAGCTCTCAGGAATACTTTAAATGGTTTATTCCTTTTTCTCTCATGTTTGGAAAAAGATATGTGTCATTATCTATTGTTTATAATATATTCTATATTCATTTTTCTGGCTTCTAGTAATAAAGTCACAAGAAGATGGGATTAAATATTATGCTTCTATTTCTAAAAGTTGCTTTTGGAATCTAATCTGTAATTGACTCTTTTTAGAATCTATCCAATTATGTGGAATATAATATTCTTCATATTCTCTTACATAAATATCCAAAGAAATTCTCAAATTATATTGTTTATAAAATTTTATCCATTTAGTAAGCCATTGATTAAATTGTTCTCAAGTCTGAGATTTTTCACTTTATGTCTCGTTAAACCTAGAAATTTTCCATCATCTGGAGTATTATCATTTAGTAAGTTATTCCATGCAAGTCGTGCATGATAGCTCTTTTCTTGAAATTGGCAAAATACTCTTTGTATAATTCTTGCATATCCATCTCGAGATTTAGGTTTATCACACTCGTAATCCCAATATTTTGCACCAAATCATCTGGCATAATAATTTCCACAAGGTGAAAATCATGATTTTTATCTTCAAATGGTCTACATCCTGAGGTAAATTCCCACATTAATATTCCAAAGCTATATACATCGGATGCTTGCGTAAATGGATGTCCTTTCAATACTTCAGGTGCCACATAAGGAATTACTCCATATATTTTCTTTGATTCAGTCATAGCAAGGATTTCTCTACATAGACCTAGGTCGGATATCCGAATAGATCCTAGAATTCCATTTATTCCTAATAATATATTTCCAGAATGAATGACACAATGAATTAACTTCTTCTTGTGAATTTGATCAAAGCTGCGCACAAAAACAAAAAGTTTTAGTACAGTATAAGGATATTCTATATAGTAAATAAAACCATATAAAAATACCCGTTTGCAATATAGTATAATTTTTCTATCCTATCTTGCCATTTAGATGATTTGTGGTTTTCTGATAAATATTTATGTAAGCTTCCATCCTCGGTATATTCGAGCACTATGATATATTCGTCTGTATCTGGATCTTTTGTAACCCCCAAACATTGAATCACAAAACTTTCGGCTTCTACTATTCTGTGAAATACCAACTGTGTAATATATAATAAAAATTGTTAAACTCAAACCAATAACTCAACATATAAAATTAAAAATAAAAACTAATTTCTCTCAAGAATTCCTCGGTAACATTCCAGGAATTGTATAATATTTTAAGTGCAATGTCAATATTTACTCCGGGTTTACTGGCAAGCATGGCTTTCTCTATTATTCCAAATCCATCTTTAGATAAATATTTCCTATTAGAAATTTTTTCATAAGAAATTCACTTTATTATGTCACCTAATTTTATATTTAATGAATCATATGTTTCTACAGAATTCTTTGGATCCGGTAGATCACTAAAGTCAAGAAGTCGACTTGTATATATTGCAAATGGATGTTTTTCCCATGTACTTTTAATCAAAGAATTTGATATCATGTTTTTCCTTTCTGAATTGAACTTTGACCATGCATTTTTATCGTTACTGTGCCATGCAAATAAAGTATTATCGTAATACCTTTAATAGGAGTTTTATTTTTTATGTATAGTAAAAATAAGAAATTGCAAAGCAGATTTCATTACAGGTCTTGAATTTACATCTTTCGGATTCAAGCACATCCCATCAAAAACTGGGTGAGATTGGGTTCATCTTGAAGATCTAAAAACTTGATTGATTTTCTTGGTTCACGTGCATAAGCTACATCGTTACCAACAAGGGCATATTCCACTTGATTGCCGGGATCTTTTTCCCAGACTACAATTTTGGCTTGAACCTATTTTGACCAATTATCATTATCACCAATAGATATTTCAAACATCTGAAATGCACAGAATTGTCTTGCAGGCTCCCCGTAACCCTAGCTCTTGCTTCAGCCTGTTCTCCCAAGCATTCTCTTAATATAAAATGTTAAGATTGTTTGTAGTGCACCTGATCAATCACGCACGTATACTTCTTGTTGTTATTTTGGATGTCATAAAAATCGTACTCAAGTAGAGTAATCAAACCTTCCCAGGGTCTTTTGACATGAACTCTGAACTTTATTTAAACAAATCATTAAATTAACTTGAAAAACTACATGAATATATCTTTTATTACAAGTACTAAATTTCATAAGATAAAATTTTCCAAAACCTATGATCAAATACGTATTCAAACCTTGTAGTCGTTGCCATTTTCAGCACGCTGAACAATTACTATCTTTGCTAGTAGATTACGTGGCAGACGTTTCTGATTAACCGGGATTTGGACAGCACCAGGCATGGTTTCGAGGATGCAGTTCAATTTATCATCATCATACTTTTGTCCATACTCTATTACTCTCTGTTTATGTATCGTCATCCACTCGTTTTTATGTTCAGAAAATTCGCCACTGTCAAGTGCGTTGTAGAAAAATAAAAGGTTAAATCCGACCTTATCATCGAATTCGAAATCAATATCTGTGATATTCTCAAAGACATTTCTTCTGAGGTATTCTGGAATTGAGGAGGACCACCTGAAGTTCGTGCCCATGCAAGCTACAAATAGGTTAAGGAAACAAATATCAAAACACTTCTATATTGTATTACTATTACCACTATAATATTAATGTATATAAAGAAAATTACGAACTGTATTGAGAAATCTTTGTGCTTGACCAAATCTTTTCTTATATGTGAAGAGAGTTTGAAGTGTTTCAGGCGGATTGTCTTGAGCTGTTTGGAAGGTATCCCTTACTTTAGATAAAATAAAAAGTTTAACGATGACGTTAATTGATATTAGTATATTAGTATGAATGGTGTTTTCACAAAATAGGCGAGAGCACAATAATAACACTAATTATAATAAGAAAAATTACTTATAAAACTGACGTACAGTCACACTTGTCTATTTGCATGACATAATCTGTTCATTTGCTCCCTCTTAGTGGGACCTACAGTAGCAGAAGAAAATATAAAAATATCACCTATTCGAATATTCATAGCTTTATTTTTATTTCTTATGTAATCATTAGTCTTCATTCATTTTTTTCTCATTACTCACATACAAAAAATGTAAACAGGTCCCGATCCTCATGATAATAACCCTCCCATGACTTTATCTCAGTCAGTTCTACAATACCAGAAAAAAAAGAAAAATGAAGTCATTTAAAATCCTATTCCTAAGCGTTATCCTTGTTTTTTTGCAATATCTCTAAATCCTGTTCGCGGTCAGACAACCACAACCATGACTTCTTTGATCACACAACTTATCGACACTAGTACCACCATGATAACTCCCATTGTTATGACCACCACGTATATGTTTTCATTTTTGTATTTTTTTTATAACTTAAATAAATATATCTTTTTCTTTTGTATTTTTATAATATTATTCTTTATTTAAAAATTTCTACTTAAACAAATAGCCACAACTAACCATAACTATGACAACTGCTTCGACTACCTCTATTAAAATTGTCAATCATTTTTCTACTACTTCTGTGAATGCTGCTCCCACTATACATATCTGAGGTTTCAAAGCTGCTATATCTGGAGTTGCTGTGGTGGCTGTGGCATTGATATAATCAATTTACAAAAATTTTAATTAGGGAAAAGGTTTGTAAAGTTAAAATAAAGGATATGTTGGCTTGGTGATTATTAGTTTTCACCTACTTTTTCGCTAAATTTTGTGTTAATTTAAGGTGAGCCTTAATTAACAATTCTGACTTCACATATATGGAAGAATTGGGAGCATTTTTACTAGAAATTACTTTATTAATCATCGTTTTGACATAATTTAACTTTTAGATATTGTTTCTACTGGATTTCGTTTTAATAAAGGTTAATTAAAAACTCAATCGCCCCTTGCTGTAGGAAAGAAATGTATTAATTGGTTAGAATATGATAAGATAATTTAATAATGATGTAATTTCATATGATTTAAAACTGAAACTAACCAATAATATAATTTTTCGCATTGATTTTTAAGTGTAATATATTTTTTAAATTAGAACACAAATTTTGAATTTTACTAATTATGTTAATTATATGCTAAATATAGATAAATAAATATGCATGACTCATTAATTAAAGTGAAAATATGCATGTTATATATATAGATATATATTTACATATAAATGTACTTATATAAATATAAATAAGTATACATATATAGATATATATAAATAATTATATAAATATAATATAGATTTGCTTTATTTTCCGACTTTCTATACCATTGTTATATCAAAAAATTTAAAAATTTCTATTTATTATAAGTTTTCAAAATAAAACATATTTCTGTTAGATTTCTTAGAAATAACTCTTTAAAAGGTTATTAAAAACATAATATTTATATTCTTAAATTAAAAAATCCTGAAATTACAAATGAAGTTATTGCAAAAAAATATAATGTTAGTATCAGCAAAATTTCAAGAATTCTTAAAAACAGTAATTATTGGCTCAAACTTGATCTTAATAGTATTGAAGCCAAAAGAAGAAGAATGAAAAGACCAAAGTATCCTTTACTTGAAAAAATATTAATTACTTGGGTTAATAATGCACTTGAAACCAATTTAACTATTACAGGTTTTACTTTAACATATTAAGCTCAAGAAATTGCTAAAAATCTTGGAATCAAAGATTTTAAGGCATCAGAGGGATGGCTAACCAATTTTAAAAAAAGAGCAAATTTAAAACAATTTGCACATTCTGGAAAAGGAAGCAGTGCCCCTATTGAAAAACTTCTTGAATATAAAGAAAACTTGCAGAATTTGTTAAAAGATTGGCCATTAGAAGATATATATAATTGTGATGAAACAGCATTGTATTGGAAAATGAAACCAATTAAATCTTTAGCAAGAGAATCAATTATTGGAAAGAAAAAAAAAAAGCAGAGAGTTATAGTACTTTTATGTTCAAATGTTACAGGTATAGTTAATAATTTAATATTTTGTATACAATTATATATTAATTTAATAATATATTTTAGGTAATGATAAAATTGAACCATTGGTAATCAATTATTATAAAAAACCTCATGCAATAAGTCATATAAATAGAGAAGCTTTACCTGTTTCATATTATCAGAATAAGTCAGCATGGATGATCACCACAATTTGAAATCAATTTTTGGAAAACTTGAATCAGCAAATGAAAAAGAATAATAAAAAAATTATTCTTTTATGTGATCAAGCATCTCCACATTATAGTGAAGAAAGTTTGAAAAATTTATCAAATATTACAGTACATTTTTTACCATTCAATACTACAGCATATTTACAACCTATGGATGCTGGAATTATTCACTCATTTAAGGTAAACAATATTATTTTAAATTATTTTAATTATTTAATAATAATAAATATAATTTATAATTATAGGCTCATTATAGAA